GTCCACACCTGTTCCTGTTTCCAACACAATGCCGTCACTGACCCGTTCATACAGTATATCAGTGTTACAAAATAATACACCACACACACTGAATCATGTAACATTGTCTTTTTGTTTTTTGCAGTGCCAAAACCTCAGATCAGGAGATGTTTCTCTTTGACTGAAGAAAAGTGGAAAATGTGACTGTGCCAGTAATTTTAGTGATAACAATGTGAAATAATTTCTTTAAATCTATTTTTACTTACCTACTTAAAACAAAAAGTGAAAGAAAATTAAATGCTGAACTCATTTTTGAACCTCATAAAAGGTGCACAATATCTCAAAATATCTCTGTTTACAGGAAGATATGTTCTGTGTAAAGTAATGGCACTTCTCTGCTTGAGAGTGTATGAGAGGCGTCTGCTCAGATAACACATTTACAGGAATGTGTTTGTGTGTGTGTGTGTGTGTTGTAAGAGGTGTCCAGTGGAATCTAATGAGTGAGGCTCAATGGGAAAATAAGGTCACATCACTTGACCTGTCGATCTGAGTGTGTGTGTGTGTTTGTGTAAGTGTGATGTTCATGACCCGGTCTCAGGACACAGACTGGAGTCAGGGGTTTATGCCCTCAGAGGTTTGTAGTAGGACACTGAAAGAGGTTCCCACAGGGATCAATCATAAGGCAACGCATTCTGAAGACTGAAACCTCAGCGTGATTTTAACAGCCTGCAAAGCTTAAAGGTTTCTCGACCTGTGCCAACCCTAAGCTGGAGGATGTCAGTTAAATTTGTTGCATCAAGAGACACTTGTAAATTGAGGGAGATATTAAACATGACAAAGGACCTGTCAGAACATTTACTAGTGACCCTCAATTTAAATCTCATTTTGCATGAAAATTTGAATGCAAATTTTGTTCGTTTGTAATCCATGTACCACATAACAACATGGGTGTTGAACATGACTTAATTTAAACTTAATTTTTGGTCTGTTCCTCATACGAAAGCATTCAAAAGGCTTGGAATATAGTGCATAAATTGCATGGACTACCTTTTCCTGCATTTGCATTGTTTCTTAAGCTTGAAAACTCCCGCCCTCATTGATTGTAAGTGCATGGGCAAAAAGTGCATGGGCATAATTATAATTTGATTTATTAAAAACATATTTTGTATTTCACCGGAGAACTTGAGGGAGAGTAAGTGATGACAGAATGCTTGTGTTTGGGTCATCTATTCCTTGAATAGCACAAACAAATAAGAAATATTAAGCATGCTGCTTAATAAGCTTCATGAATTCGGTGTTAAGACAGAGAGAGCAAGTTTCCATAACTGTGTGTTCCTCGAATCAAATGCACCTGTTGGGAAGGTCACCTCACATTACAGATGTGTGTGCTAGAGAGAACGAGCGTGTTAGAATAAATAGGAGGAAAAGGAGAAGTAGCTTGTCTAAGGAAAGAACGAAGCAATTCTGAGAACCTTGCAATCTTCTTCCTCTGCGTCGAAGCTTGTAGATCTGATCCTCCCTGTGGAGCTTTAAACTGTTCTTATTTAAAACCCCTCTATCTGCGTCTGTGAATCCGATGCAGGATAAACACTCGCCCATCAGCACCCCTGAGAGGCATTAAAATACCTTTCAATGTCAAATTCCCCTCCACTGTTCTGACAGTAATAATCTCATTCTGGCTTCGCAGATGAAAACATGATGTTTGTCAACGCTGATGATCGCAAGGCAGGCAAATATAGCCATGAAGTGATTAATCGTCCGGCACGTCTCTGCTATCAGGTAACCCACTTTGAACTAAGGGGGATGTGGACTAAAAATAACCCCTCTCCCCAAACCCCCAAGACCTGTCAGCTTTATGTGAACCTCATATTCTCCAGACCTACATCACCATTGAGTATAATTGCCCTTTTGGATGTTAAAAAAAAAAAGATACCTGCTTCATTGTCTGGGAATTTTTTTCTGTTGTGTTTTGCCTGCAGGGATCTGATGCTGACCGCTGGCTGCTTTAAGAGTGAAATCTTTGGACTTGGTCTCTCATGACAGATGTGTCCAAACTGAGGTAATGTGTCTGTCAAAGGTCGCCAGGTTTTACGGTTTTGGCTGCTAATTGTAATTGAAATTGTAAAAAATTCTGAAGCCAATTTGATTTATTTGAATGACATGAATTTATAGTTTACATTGACACTGTACTTTTAATGGTATAGTGACAAAAATGTATTACTGTTTTCTTATTTAGTCATATTATTCTAACACGCATAGTATTTTACCATAAGCTGATTTAGACTTTCTTTACTCTTTTTTTATTACAGTGTCAAGTTATCATTTTGAATTGTACAGCACACAACTGCATGTTTGCATGCATACTAAAATCAGTTATTAGTTGCAGACTGTGTATGTGAGTAATAATTAACATTATTTATTTATATCTTGCATTACGTCTCTTAAATTTATGATGTCTTGCATCTGACTGAAGTGCGCAATGACAGTTTAAGAGAAGCTTAAGAAAATCATGTGTGTAGGAAAAACAGGGTTGAGTCATATCACCTGATAGCTTTGACGTAAGAATGACGTATGGAAATTGCACACACATGGGCTGATACAAATCTAAGTGGAAACTCATTTGACCGATCACTCAGTTTGTTTTCCAGTGTAGCCCAACACCTTTGGGCAACAATAGAGGTTGTTTGTTATGGAAAAACCTAGGATTGAATGCAATTATTTATATTTCTAAAATTAACTTAATTAGTTTTACATTTATTTTATATATTATGTATTTGAAATAAAATATCATATATGTTATTATATAACATTATATATAAAACCTATAATAAAAGCATTATTAAATAAATAATACAATATTTAACGTTTAACCTTAGATTTATCTTGTTCAAAAATATTTAGATATTTTTTATAAAAATGCATAGGGCTCATGATATAGTGGCATCATTTTGCTATGATGCCTTACAAAACACTGTGGTTGTACGATGGTGTACTGACAGCATCAGATGAAAGTTACTAAAAAGAATGGCATGTTACCAATTCTAAAAGCCACAGGACTTTTTTCTTGCTTTTTTAAATGATCTGTTGCTCTCGTTTTCTGTGCATCTAATTGTTTCTTGTTTTCTTTTTTCTCTTCTTCCGTTTCCTCTCTTGCAGTGACGTGTGTGCAGTGATCCAGAGCGAGGGAGATGACAGCTGAGTGGGCTGACATGGCCACCCCAGACAATCTGCTGTTCCTGGACACAGATGCTGTCAACTCTTCCTTTGCTTCACCGCCCATAGAGGAAAATGAGCCCACTCGTGCCACAGACAACCAGACAGACGACAGCTTTAGTTCAGTCCCTGATCAACACCCTGATCCAGACTCAGGAAACTCAGGATTAATGCCAGTTCCGTGCCAGGATGGGACCATTGAGATTCATAATACAAACATTGAAAGGGAAAATGAGAGTGGTTTAGTCTTAACACAGCCCCTGGATCACACTGCAGTGATAGAAATGAATAAAAGTGATAACTGTGACTTCAGTACTGCTGCTATAATGGAGACTGACAGTATCACAAACAGTACTAACATCCCTAACCTAATTCACCTATTGGACAGAAATCAAAATGACAAACATGGTAACTCAAACACTAAAGCGGATCCAAATGAGGCTCATGGCACTTTAATGAGTCCATTATTAACAGAACACAACAGACAAGAAGAAATGAGCCAAGACACCATTTTAAACCAATATGCCTCTTTTGAGAGCATTGGACTTGATGTTAACCCAATGGCTAATGATGATGGTCCCTTGGTAAATACTGTCTCTAATGTAATGAATGGTGCAAGCAATGAGACCGATGCAACTTCTTCTGAAACCCTCATCCAGACTTGCCAGGATACATCTGAAGGTGTTGATGTAGCAGTGGAAGTGGCGACTGCCTATAAAACTCGTCCAGAAATTAATGACATTGCAGAGGACTTGACATGTGGACCACTGGCAACTGAGAAAACAGACAATTCTGAGTCACTTTTCCACCAATCCATGCTTAAAACCTCACAAATTGGTGAAAAACACGAGAAGGATCTCTCACAAGTGATCCCTTGCCCAACATCTGTCACAAATAGAGATTTAGGTAAATGTTCTGAGGAGATTGATGGTGCTTGCTCAAAGTTCACAAGAATGGAACATGATGTTGAGGCTAGTAGCGAGTTGTGGCTGGACGCTCGCCAGTTCTTGGCAGGTGAAGAGGATGAGGGTGCTATTTTTGACAAGTGGGGTTGTTCGTGTTCTCCCAGCCCCACCACGGCCCATCCAGACAAAACAAAAGCCTTGGATCACTCCAGGAGAGAGAACATTTCAATTGACCACCACACTGAAGACTGGGAGCCGGGGTTTCCACCTGTTGAGAGGTGGTCGTCCTCAGACAGCTGGGCTAGTGCACTTTCAGACTGGTTCCAGGCAGTTAACACCCATTCAGAAGACTCTTTTACCAGCGCTAACACTTCAAGCACTGGTCCTAAGCACGGTATGGCAATCCAAGAAAACATTTTGGAGCAAAGAACAAGTCCTGATAATGCAAACATCACTGGACAGACATGCCTGAACCTCTTAGAACCAGAAGAACCAGGTCAAGCCTTGAGTAGAGGACTAGTCGAGTCTGATAACACTAATGGAACTCTTTTTAACCAAGCTGATAAAGATGGACTTCCTTCTCATTCAGACTCAGACAGACAGAACAATACAACGATGGAGAACAACATGAGTTTGTTGGAGAGGTCTGAATCCTGTAAACCAGATGCAGCCATGCATATGCTTAATGCATCAAAATCTCCTGCAAACGAGGCCAGTGCCAAACTTTATGGAACTCGACAAATCCCTGGAGAGCTTTGGAGTACAAAGGTGAGATGACTAGCACATTTCAAATACAATTGGCACAGGCAGACATACTGTAGATGCCAGTTTTGACTGAGTTTTCTTTAGATCTTCTGCAGTTTGCATTGAGAGATTTGCATTTCAAGGTTTCAGTTTAAACGAAAGGTTAGTTTTGGTTAACTGTACTAAAGTAACCACATATTGAATACAAATTTTAAAACCTGAGTCTGAATGTAGCTGCCACACAGTTTCAGCATTAGTACCTAAAAAAGTACTTTGTTGGAGCCAAATCATCATGCATAAACATGATACTAAATGCTTACTGTATTCACATGCCGTGGTATTTATATATAGGTACTGTAGTGCAAAGAATGCAAAGGTTCAGTTTCAAAAACATGGTATTACTATAGTAACATGTCCAACAAAACATGCCAGTACCATGGTATTTTTTGATACTGTTTTATTAGTGACCATTTCCATTATGTAAAATCTTCCACATATTATTGTGATGGAATGTAATCTTAAATAGCCTGTCACCTTTAACATTTCCTTTAATAGGTCTTACATGTGTGGAACACTTTCATCGTGACTTTCATTATTTATTATGACACACTGTGTGCTGGAAGAGCCAAGTCATTCCACACAAAAATATCACTTCATAGTGTACACACATACTTTCCACACACACACACACACACACACACACTAAACATATACCTGTGTGAATTATAATTTTCTGCATTTAAAGAAATATTATTTTATTAAATGTCTATTTTTATTCATTATTAAATTTTCTCCACTATTTTCTACTCAAATGTTCTTCTAGAGTCATTTTTGAAACATACAAAAGTATGGCTCAAATACACTCACTAACACTTAAACATTCACCACCCTCCTCATACGTACATGACAGACAGCTGTGGCTGCTGAGGAAATGTGAGGTGCAGAGAAAAATACTGATAAACAGGAATGCAGACTAATTATAGAGGGTGGCGGATGATAATAGACCAGCAAGAGCAAAAGAGGAACTGGAGAGGCTGAGGGTGAGGGGCACGAGCACAGCTGAGGGCCGAAATACGACCCCTGCTCTCAAACTCAGTGTCGTACTGTACGACAGTTTCTCCAATCCCACAGACCCCTGAGACAGCGGGAGAGCTGTGATTGGTTCACTTACGTTACACAGCGGCTGTGATCACTATAATAGAGATGACCCCTTCTATTGGTAGCCACATGTGGCTGTAGACTGCAGCATGAAAGCATAATGGTTTTTGCATTAGACGGACATTCGCCTCTGTGAGGTATGTAAACAAACAGCTAAATGTAGTTTGGATGAGAATAGGCCTAAATTGACTTGTCAAATGATACAAATGCTTCAATTCCTTTGCTGTCTGCCTCTGATTTCTTCTGTCTTCTCCATGACATTTAATGTTTTTTCTATGTTTCTGTGTTTCAGTTGGAAGGAAATGCGCTGGTGGAGGTGACCGGAGACGAAGTTCCCCAACTCGGGTTGGTCTTTGAGGAGGAAAGTCAAAGCAGTTTTACTTCTCAAAGGATCTCAGTGTGCACCAGCGACAAGAATTTATTAACTGACTGTGTGAGCGGCGAGGAGTGGCGTCACGGCACCAATGTTGCTCTCCACACATGTCCCTCTCAATCGAACAGTCACGTGTCTTCTGAGACGGGACGTGCTGAAGGAAATGAAACTTTTGTGCATTTTAACACTGAGGAGTGCACTGTGAAGCCAAAAGAGGAGGAAAGAAATACATTTCCACAGTTTATTATGCCGTTTGCTCCACTCAATACTGGAAGTATTTTCCTCCATAGTAGTTTATTGAAAAGTCCACAGGATGATCTAGATCTTCCACCTAAAGGGATTATTAATGAGATACACATTAAGAGTGATCAAAAATCAGTCAGTAGTGACAATTCGTCTGAAGATCGCTTTCATACATGCCCTGACCACTCTTTATCTTCATCTTCAGATGAACCTTCCATCAAGGACACTAAAAGAAAAGCCGAGTACAGTGATACCTGTGATATCAGCAAAGAGCTTTCTAAGTTAATTTTACTCACAGGACAGCGTTTTATGGTGTCTGAAGACAAACTTGTTGCATATGTCACTCTAGACTTGGAAGAACCCAGTTTAAATAATTTCTCATTGTCAAACTACGAGGAACGACCCAAAACAGACAATATGCCTCACAAGACTTCCAAAACATCCTCAGATGGTAAAACACGCTCTAAACATAAGGAGAACCCAGCTGAGAAGCAGCAACACGGGATTCAAACATCAAAAAAGCAAGATCTTCAGCCCCCATCCCAGATGAAAGAGGAATTCAATTCAGAAGGAGATGGTTGTGAAGATCGTCCAGCTACTGTCATTGAAACCATCGTCATCACAGAAAAGATCGCTCCTAAAACCCAAGGGAAGAAGAAAAAGAAGCATGCCCAACACGGGACACCAAAACCCGAAAATGATCCACCGAGTGACATAGGGAGCAGAAGCACTCAGAAGAGCATGAGTGGCAAGACCGAGAACCTTGTCCTGAAGGTAGCATCAAATGGTCTGGATAAACCAGCATCTTATCTTCCCGCTAAAATGGACGTTACTAACAAAGATAGCACTCAGAAAGTGATTTCAGTGAGACCCAAAGTAGACCCCTACTTTGGCAGCGTAAATGCCACTCAGAAAGCCACCCCTATAAAACTCAAAGTAGATGCCAGTAACACAGCCAAGATGGAAAATAAGACGTGCACCTCTGATTCTCCGAGCATGTGTTTACCCAGCATGCTGAATGATGACATCAAGCGCAGGCGAATCGCAAATGACCCGTCTGGAGCAGTTCCGATAAGGACGAGGCCACAGCTGCCCGCTATTTTCCGCCAAGCAAGAAAAGATGGAGAAGATACGACCTGGAGATCTTACAGTGAGGTTGTCAAGCAGAAGACTCCAATACCCAAAGAAGGTTCTCCAAATGCATTCCTGTTCAACTTCAAATTAGAAGTCAATCCAGTAGAACAGGGGTGTCCAATTCTGCTCCCTGAGGCCCAATGTCCGGCAGAGTTTAGCTTCAACCTGCCAAAAAACACTTGTCTGGAAGTGTTCTAGAACTTGATTATCTGGTTCAGGTGTGTTTGTTTAGGACCCAAGCTAAACATGGCAGGATTGTGGGCTTCAGGAACAGGAATGGACACTCCTGCACAGGAACATTTGATATGTTTATAGTATGCGTTCCTGAGTCAGAACCATGCAACTTGATCCAGTCTAATGTGGTTTGCTGGTCTTAGCTGGTTTAAACTGGTTTAGCTTGTCTCCCAATCTAGTTAAGGTGGTTTTAGATGGTTTGCCAATTGGTCAAGTGACCATAAATCTCTAAAACCTACAAACAGAGCAGCGTAATCAGCTTGGCTGACTTAGGGAGACCAGCTAATCACCGTAGGCTGATTCAAGTTGTTTTTGGGGTGGGATACAATGGAATCAGTTGCATAAACTGCTTCTTAAAAGGTTACTCATCTAATTTTTGTCATTAAGTCATTACTTTTTAAAGTCCGTTTTAAAAAGGGAGAACGGACTGATTTGAATCCAAAATGTAAGTCTGATTACCTCTTGGCTAACTGACAGTTGGTCAAACTAGTTCTTAAAGCAGCACTATGTAACTTTATGTCTATGGCGATTCACGTAGGTATGTGTTACTCCGCAGCGGTGACGACCCGACCAGGCTACAATAGTCCAAATATAAGTACTTATTATAAGTGTACCGTAGGGATTCGGAATAAGACAAAAAAAAACGCGGTTTGGAAGATGAATTCATGATGTACTCGCTCATTATATACATTTTGCAAATTTTTAACACACAAAAAGTTACATAGTGGTGCTTTAAGACGCAGTCTTAACATAGCGTCTATGTTTATGCAACTGGCTCCAGCAGGTTTATCAAATAAATTCATGCAAAAAGGGATATAAATTATGCATTTTTATGTTTTTGTTGTAGTGGTTCCTATAGTCTCAGAGATCCAGGCTGACCCAGTCCCTGCTGACCCCCAGAACATCTTGCTTTGGTGCAAGTTCAGTCCTGTCCCACCTGATGCCACCATTAAGTGGACTAAAGAGGGAACAGTGCTGGCAGAGATAAACAAAGTGTAAGAAACCCCTCTTTTCCTATCAGCCGCTGCTTCATCCTTATCTACCTACATTATCGTCTGACTCTGGTCCAAAATTAAGTTTCCAAATGGAATTATTTAACTGAGATGGCCAGCATTATACTGTAGTTCTTTTACCACTTGGTGGCACTATGTTCTTGTCCAAATCTGCTGTAAATTTTGGCAGAGACCTGAGTGAACATCAGCGCTCTGGTGATTCAGCCATGACTTATAGTGGGAGCGAAATGAACCTTTTACATAACAGAGTGATTCATTCCTACTGAATGCTGACTGTGCCTCAGACGCTCTCAAACAAACCTCTGCAGTCCAGAATGGTCCTTCTGAGATGTTTTGTAAGCTGAAGTTTAACTGCAGGATTCAGAAATGAGCATCTGGTCTGCATAAGCCACTGTGTTTAGTCTCTAGGACCCTTTGCCCAGATGTGTGAAGAATGATTGATTCACTATAAATGTTTTTCTATTTTCTGTAGAGAGAAGGATGACGGCCGCTTCACTTTGACAATCCTAAAGGCTTGCAGTAAAGATCTAGGGCTGTACAAATGCAGCCTGAATGCTGCCAACATTTCTGTTTCGACCTCAGAGTACCATCTCACATCTGAGGGTAAGACATAGAAGGCTGCCTTCCCAGACTAATGATTAAAGAGGCTATAAATTACAATTTTAATTTGCTGAAGTACTCCATGACTAAGCAGAAAGTTAAAGCAGAAACTCATGCTCTGAAGTTTCAGCAGGGTGAATGAGGTAATAGTCTTAAAGAAAGCCAGATAAAGACTTCTCCTGCTTCCAAAATGGCTCACTGCGTTTAATACAATTCGACAGTTAATTAAGTACATTAAGTATGCATGTGTGCGGCATGAATACAATCCGTACATAATACACTACCGTTGAAAAGTGTGAGGACAGTAAGATTTTTTAAAAGAAATTAACACTTTTATCCAGCATGGATTCATTAAAATGATCAAAAGTGACAGTAAAGACATTTATAATGTTAGAAAAGATTCCTATTTCAAATAAATACTGCTCTTTTATACTTTCTATTAATCAAGGACTCCTAAAAATGTAAGCACGCAACTGTATTTAGTTTATAGGTTGCATTTATTTGATCCAAAAAAGTAATATCATGATTACAATTTAAATAGGTATTATTTTCTTACCAGACATCCTGTCTCATTTTGTAAATGATGTAATACCTTTTATATGTCAGCAAAAATGTAAAAAAAAGAGAAGAGAAATAAATAGGTATTTTATATTTTAATATACTTTAAAATTTATTTTATTCCAATGATATCAAAGCTGAATTTTCAGCAATTAGCTCCAGTCTTTTGATCCTTCAGAAATCCTTCTAATATTCCGATTTGCTGCTCAAGAAACATTTCTTGTGATATGAAACCATGACTCGAAAGCTCGATTCAGCATTTATTTGAAATAGAAATCTTTTGTACCATATTTATTATTGCCTATTTGTTAATGCATATTTTCTGAATAAAAACCATTCATTTCTTTCAAAAAAATGTTACTGACCTCAAACGTTTGAACAGAAGTATACATATTCTGAATGTGTGTCTGGGAAACGAATCCTCACTTTGTAAATCTGCAAACATGATATATTACACTCATTGACTCAACTGTGTCAAATTTTTGATTTCAGTGCTTATGGAGCTAGTCATTCCGAGTCATGATCAGCCAGGTAAACAGACCTTTCGTTTCATGGTCTCTCTGCTGTTCCTATGAGTAGCTAAAATAGTATGAACGGTATGCTGAATAATAGAGATTTTCTTTTATGAAAATCTGACAGGTGTATCTGTTTTAATGTGTTGTGAGTGTGATCGCTTAGTTTTACAACACTTCTCATCCTATGTATCTATCTCCCAGCTGAGCCCAGGGTTGTGGACGGTGATGAGGAGAACATCCAGTGCAGCCCGCTTCTCTTTAAGGAAGATTTCCTCTCAGATCAGTACTTTGGAGAGAATCAACCAGCGAGCATCGTGACTGAAAAGGTCCACTTCGGTGAAGGCATGCATCGCAAGGCTTTCAGGACCACTCTTAGAGAAGGCAATCTGCCGAGCTTCAACCCCGGCCGTCCCTGCGTCCTGAAAGTACACAACGCCATCAGCTATGGGACCAAAAATAATGAGGAACTTGTCCAGAAGAACTACAGCCTGGCTGTGGAGGTGAGAGTGAATGTCTCTAAGGAGATGTTTAATTAAGAACTTAGCTTAAGGAGATTTGGGACTGATTCGTTTTTTAATTTTTTAACCAGGAATGTCATGTGCAGAATACCGCCAGGGAATATATTAAAGCGTACAATAGTGTGGCCAAGTCTGCAGAATCATTTGGAGAGGTGCCAGAGTAAGTATAACAATACACGAACTTGTGAAGTGTAAAAAGTACTGGGAAACTTCTACATAGAGTATCTGTATTGTTGATTGTATTGTATTTAACCATAATGTAATTGTACAGTATGAGGTGAAAAAGTTTCCACATTTACTTAATAAGTCAACTTTCTTAGTGTTTGAATTTGACAGCTGAACTTAAGGGTTAGCAAAGATTTTCTAATTGAAGTAACATCTACGCTACCATTCAAAAGATTTTTTAAATGTATGAAAATAGAGTAAAATTAGTGATATTTTGAAATATTATTTTTATTTTAAAAATGTTTTCTATTTGAATGTATTTTAAAATGTCATTTATTCCCGTGATGCCAAGCTGAATTTTTCAGCATCACTACTCCAGTCTTCAGTGACACATGATCCTTCAGAAATCATTCTAATATGCTGATTAGTGTAAGAAACATTTTTTATTATTATCAGTGTTGAAAACAGTTGTGCTGCTTATTATTTTTTCTGCAAACCGTGATGAGTTTGAGGAGCAGAAAGTAGAAAAAACAGCATTTTTTTAAAAAAATAATAAATCTTCAGTTACGTTATAAATGTCTTTTCTTTCACTTTTAATCAATGTAATGCGTTCTTGTTGAAAAAATGGTAATTTCTTTCAAAAAAATTTTTTTTGGTCAGTGTGTATTTAACACATATACTACATTTTTATTATAAAACTTTTTTTATATACATTTTATATTGCTTTCTTCAGTCTAGCCAGAAATCCGAAACTATTTTATGCTATTGATATTATGTTAAAGGTTATTGACATGCTTGAAATAGAACTATTAAATATTTGAAATAATATATATATATCAATTGAATGCATCCTTGCTGAAAGCAAATATTTTTTAAAAATTAAATAAAGAATGATTTTTGAAAGCTAACAACTTTCACTATTTGTATTAATTAATTAAATTGTCCTTAAAATTCCCAGAATCATCCCTATTTATTTGGTGCACCGGCCGTCTAACAACGTCCCTTACGCCACGCTGGAGGAGGAGCTGCTGGGAGATTTCGTGAAGTACTCTGTGAAGGACGGGAAGGAGATCAACCTGATGCGCAGAGACTCTGAGGCGGGACAGAAGTGCTGTGCCTTCCAGCACTGGGTCTATACACAGACCGACGGCAACCTGCTGGTCACCGATATGCAGGGTAAAAAATGCACAGTACTTCCATTCGACCATATATCGCACATCATGACATTAACAGTGTAACAAGAAGAATGTAGATTCGAATCCTGCAAGGAGTGAAGCATACCATTACAAATATTCTCTTTTATGTCCAGGTGTGGGTATGAAACTGACAGATGTTGGGATTGCCACCTGTAAAAAAGGGTAAATTCTGATTTTAAAATATCACAAATTCCACAAATATATTTTTATATATTTGTAAATATATAAAAATATATTTAAATTATATTAAAATCTGTATAAATGCTGTATATAATAGTAATAATACATTACTTAAATAAGCATTTAAATATTTACAATAAAAACTGTGTAGTTCTTATGAAAGCAGTAATATAGATTTGTATGATTGCAGCTATAAGGGGTTCAGAGGAAACTGTGCTACGTCCTTCATTGATCAGTTCAAGGCTCTTCATCAGTGTAACAGATACTGTGAGCTTCTGGGCCTGACGTCTCTTCAGCCCAAGCCAAAACGGACCGTCGGCCCGCCAAAGCCAAAAACACAACCCGCTCGGCCCCGTTCTGAACGGCAAATCCTGATCGCACAGAAACTCTGAATGTCTGCTTGTAGGATAACTAGTGTTGGCCGTTATCTTGCTTAGGGACAAACGTGTTTCTGAGATGTTTCTTTAAATGTAAGATGACATTCATCTGTAAGGACAGTAGGGAGGTTACACTCTTAAAAATAAAGGTGCTTCAAAAGGTTCTTCACAGCGATGCCATAGAAGAACCATTTTTGGTTCCACAAAGAACCATTCAGTCAAAGGTTCTTTAAAGAACCATCTCTTTCTTACCTTTTTGTAATCTGAAGAACCTTCTTTCGCCACAAAGAAGCTTTTGTGAAACAGAAAGGTTCTTCAGATGTTGAAGGTTCTTTATGGAACCATTTAGACAAAAAGTTTCTTCTATGGCATCGTGAAGCACCTTTATTTTTAAGAGTGTACTTCTTTCTTGAGAGCTCTTTTGTGCTATTTTAAATGAGCTTATTATTGGTTTTTATTGAATTTCGTATGTTTTTTTAAGGGGCGAGTCGACTGAAAATTGATGCAACACTTTTTCGATGTAATATTTTTTATTTAAACCAAAGAAATATCAGCTTGTGATAGTGTTTTATCCCGATTTGCTTGGTTGAAAAGTCGTGCCTGTGGTGCTGCAATCTGATTCTTTATTATTAGCCTCTTCTGAATAACAACAACTTCATGTTATTATGATTGTTTGTTATAATATGTGCAATAAGTACTTAGTTGATCAAACTGCTAAATCTTAAATAGATATTTTCTTTATGAGTGAGATTAATGTACTGGACAGCCGTAAAAGATTGTTAGACTTGAATGTAACTGCTGGAATTGAATGTTTGAAGCTTCTCATATTCAATGTTAAAATATTTTATTTTCACACGAATTTAGTATTGAATTTTTCTTGAATTTTTTAAGCTGATCTACGCTGTTTCTTGGAAGGAAGGATGAGGCGGTAAATCTGATACTATGGAAAGGTTTGTACACTTGCCCAGTAAACAGCTGTTGATTTGCCTCAGTAAGAATGACAATCCTCCACCTTCACGTTCCCATCATCCTTCCAAAGTCAAATGACTTATTGCCTCATTGCTATATATAAGCACACACGTTTGAAGCCAAGTATTCGTCTTGTTAGTGTTAATGAGCTGCACAAATCAATCACTTGAAATTAAAAACTGTGATGTTACCGTTGCTACTTTCTGCAAATCTAGATAGTCTTATCTATTAGTAGTCTTAGTGAATGTGGATTGAAGGTCAAAGGTTATCAGATTCTTGGCTTCACCGAACCACATTTGTCTTGTAGTGGCTTTGAATGATCCCCTCTGAATGGTATATTGTGTATTAATATGTATTTTTTTTCTTTATTAAGTCTGGGTTTATTTTAATCATAAACTTAAAAGAAATTACTTGAATAATTTCATTACTTATTTTATTTATATATAAATGTTATATATAAATGATATATATATATATATATAAATTACAATACATTTAACTATAATTTAATAAATTATAAATTATTTAAAAAATAATTGTAGAAATTTATATTATAAAATTTAGAAATCAGACATTATCTTAGTTAAACTAAAACTTAAAAAACTTTTATACTTAATATGTACTGAATTTATATGCATGTTAGCTTAAAATGTAAAAAAACACTATATATAAATATGAGTTTATTTATATATTTATGTTTTTAATATTTAAAAATATTTAAACTTAAAATTATATTATATATATATATTTTTTTTTACATTTTTAATTTTTAACGATGTACTAAACAAAAATTCATATACAAAACTATTTTTAAAAAACTAATTTTTTTTTTTTACAAATTAAAAAATTTAAATAAAAATTTAAATTAAAAAAAA